GCGTTTAAGTTTCCTGTTATTTTTGGGAGCTACAGGTAAAGTCTTGACGAGTTTGTCGCGGGTCCTCCCTCCCTCCGCAGCGAAATCCAGGCTCCAGTGCTCCCGACACTTCAGCAGCCGTGTTCTGCTTTGAAACGCTTCTTTAGTTTGTTATAGGTACGAACTATCATGCGAGAGTTCGCTCCTCCCACACTAAGAAAACAGGAGGGGAGGGGTCAGCTGAGCTCCTGTGCAGCGGAGCAGAGAGGGAGAGACACGAAGTAAACAAACAAGCAGGAAAATGAAACTTATCGCCTTCTTTTTTTTACCGACCTCAAAAAAAGTTATCGTGCAATTAATTGATTTATTGTCTATCGCGACAGGCCTAGGAGTGAGTTCAAATCTTTTTTTTAAACTGTAGCAAAATGCTATGATTAATAAAAACAATAGAGATAATTACTAAGCTTTTACTTATAGGCCATATTTCGTTAAGCAAAACAATAATTATCAACACTAAGCTCCAGGTTTATATAAATAAGATCAGAGCTGCTTCACAGAGCAGCATCTGTCTTCATGACATGCAGTATTTTGTGACGGCACAGCCAYATTTTACTGTAATATTTTATTACTGGTCTTAAAGAAAACAGTCAATGTTCAAGATGCGTGTAGAAGCTTTATTATACGGACTGGTTCATGACACAGCTTGTCCTTCATGCAGCTGTAATGTTAAAGCTTGGCCAGCAGATGGAGCAACACTTAAATGTATCCATTGATTCAGTGATTCAGAAAGCCTCAGTTTATCCATCATTAGTTTTCACCATGGATTTGTAACTTTTTCTAGAAGGACAGATCTCAATGACTTTGTTTCTCATTTGTTCCTGAGTTTCTGTGGATTTCAGCATGATGTCTAGCTTTTCAGGACCTTTTGGTCCACTTCACTTTGACAGGCAGGTACTACAGGCAGGTATTGGTTTCTTGATTGAGAACAGGTGTGGCCAGAAAACTAAACTAAGCTTTCCAAAGATGTGATAAACCACACAGGGTCCTGTAGGTTTAGATTTATTTTTCCCTTAATAATAAAGACCTTCATTTTGTGTTTACTTGTGTTATCTTTGTCTAATATTTAAATTTGTGTGATGATCTGAAACAAGTGTGACAAACGTGCAAAAGAATAGGAAATCAGGAATTTTCACACTACTGTACTGTAAATGGTGGATAATATCCAAAGTTTACCTTCACAATCTGCTGGTTTTCTGTGGGTGTGACGTAATCTTCAAGAACTTCTTTGACAACATGTTTGCGTTTGGTTGCCTGTGACATTTTAAAGGCTGAAGTTCTGATTCCTTCACCGGCCTAAAAAAGGTAGAGGATAGTAGAAAATTAATTATTAACAAATTACGCATCCTAATAAATTCTGTCAGAAAAATACTGTAATACTAATACAAACACCACAGCACTATACTTTGTTGTATTGCTTTCTCATTAGTAGGGGTGTAAGAAAATATCGATACACTGAAATATCGCAATATTTCATTTCCCGATACTGTATCGATATTCTAAAGCCCTGTATCGATACTTAATTAAGGTTTAAAACATCAACTTTCCTGCCAGCCGTTCATTTTTGTGTTGTAGTTTAGCCTCTGACCACTAGTTGGCAGCAGTGAGCCAGCCATTTGGCTCCTCTACCTCTTGAGCGCCAGAGAGTAAGAGAGCATTAGCATTGTAAGTAAACATTAGCTTCATGCTCTGATAGCTGAATCTGAGCGGAAAAGACAGACTCCCTCTGCCTTCTAAGCTGAGGTAAGGTTACAAACAGTTACTTATTTGTCAGAATGTCTGTATTTTAAACTAAATTAAGTGTCTTGTGCGCTTTTTTTTTTTCCAACTTTAGTCGGCCTTCATGTTACAGAAGGCTAGCGCATGTCTATGTAATAGAATTTTCTGATGGTGCGTTCACACCGAACGCAATTTCAGCGTCAGGAGCCTCAGGTTTACATGCAAAGTCTATGGTGGACGCGCTTCAAGCAACGTCGGGAAGTTCTGCGGCGCCTCAAGCGCGATTAGAGCAGTGAGATTTGAACGATTTGAACGATCTGAGCGTTCGACGCGCTGAGGCGCAAATCGTTGAAGTTAGAAAATCTGAACNGATTATTATCATATATTTTAGTTAATAATAAAATATTAAATGGTTATCTATTCTGACCACATCATATTGAATTTTTGTAAAAAAAATTTTTACACCAAAATAATTTTTTGGGGGGGGGGTGGCTTTAAAATATTTTAGGGGGGCTCGACCCCCCCAAAATAGGCCTAGTGATGCCACTGGTTTCAGATCAGACAGACAGATGACTCACAACAGGTTACTGTTTTAGTCTGAACACARACGGCTCCATTATTTCTTGGAAAACCAAGAARCAACAAACTGTTGCTTTGTCAACGTGTGAGGCAGAGTATATAGCTCTAGCAGCTACAGCACAAGAGAGTTTATATGTTTTACAACTGATGAAAGGGTTAAATGATGAATGTTATGTAACCTGTAAAAATCTTTGGAGATAACCAAGGTGCAATCGCTTTGTCTAAAAATCCAATCAGTCGTCAGAGATGTAAACACATTGACATTAAGTATCATTTTATTAGGTCTGTGCTRAATGATGGAAAAATATGTATTGAGTATTGTCCAACAACAAACATGGTTGCAGATGTTTTYACAAAATCTGTAACAAAGTTTAAGCTGGAAAGATTCAAAAAACAGATGTTTGGAATGTGAACGGATTTCATGAAATGTGTACTATATAATGTGGATGTTAATATGTGTTATTGAGAATCACTGTTGAAGAGTGAGAGTGTTCAGTTTTGTTATTGATGAGCTGTGCTCTCACACCTGTGATTGTAAACTGATCTGAGCATGTGTCGATAAAAGAGGTGGCGTCACATCCGATGTAGTCTCATGTTGGGTGTGTGCTGCTGCCGGTTCACCCTGAAAACCTTTGTCATGTTCCTCTGTCAAGAGCTGCCAGGCCATCGGTTGTCCTGTCTTTAATAATGGCAGCTTCAACAAACACGCTCTCTCTGATTGGCTGGCTGCCGGTGACGTATGAGGAAGACGCCTTTCAACGTGTTTTTTTTTTTTATTAACACTCATATTTTTATCTATATGTAAAATATTTGTATTAGTGTTTTGTTTTGTGTAAAATGTTTTTTTTTTTTATTAACACAAGAACCGTCAAAGTCCTTATGTTCAAAACAATGAATGGCAGTTTACAAAACTTAATTAACACGAAAGTACCACAAAATTCGCGTACAGCTATCAAACTGCCTAAATTCACGAGACAATGGAAACATATAAACCGCTCGAGCTCCAACCTGACGGATAACAAAATGTGGTGTTACACCACTAAACACATGATGGCTAGCTTCAATCATGCTAACTGATATGAACTTCCTCCTGACCTACGGTTTTTAGAGATCGATAAAAGGATAAACACTTAATAACTATTTTCTTGTCAGTTATTTAGTCATATTTCTGAAAGTTTCGTATTGATAGTCGAAATCGGTTGATATGCTAACTAACAATGCTGTAAACATAAATAAACCCACGACTCAAGGAGTTCCGTCCATACCTTGGAAAATAAAAAAAAGAAAGAAAAATGCAGGAACGTCGCTCTTCTGAGACAAATGGCAGCAAAAACAGTACAGAAATAAAGAAACTGGCCTGTTTACTTAAGGACACAACAACATGCGTTCAGGTTTTCTGAAAGTGCAAAAAGGAAGACCCCACTTCCGGTATCAACTGGTCTTCTAATTTCAAAATAAAAGCGAAAGACTGTGCCTTTTACGATTTGGTCGAGTAAGAATGTATAAACGCAACATTTTAGATAAAGAGGAGTACAATGAAACATAATATTATGGCTTAGTAATGAGTTATTATTCACCAGCATATTGTGGTGAGTATTTGTATGATTTTAAAACATTTATTTTTTTATTCAAGGGACTTATTCCAATAGTTTTTCCGAGGTGGCTAAGCCTTTGAATTGTGGGAAATTGAGTTTTCTTATGAAATTGAGCAACGTTCACAATCACCAACTTTTAAGTGTGTTACTTTAGGCCACAGTGATGATGAGTTAATCTAAATGAACAGTAGAAAAAATATTTTAGATTTTTAAATGCCTGTGTGATAAAAAATTTATAAAATATAATGGAAATAATTAAAAGTGATGCAACATTTTGGAAAGTGAACAAAAAGGGCACTTTGTGTGGTGCACAGAATCTCCTAGAAGTATGAATTTATTACAGGTACAGCATCTATTTCAAATCAGCAGCCATATTCTTTCTGATGCAGATGTTTAATATTAAACACTATACATTTGGTTCATGTAACAAATTTGCAGAAAAAAACTAGTAACTCATGTGTACTTCAAGGTCTATAAAATAACTATAATTAAGCAGCATCACCTGGGAGAGCTGCAGGAGTGTGTGAGCACATGAAGGCAAAATTATTTGCAAATTATTTTACATTTGTAATTTATTGAATGCTTTCTAACTATAGGACACAGATACAGGGTATACAGATACAGGGTGCCCCTGTTGAAAAAAAAAAAAGTTCAACAGGGGCACCTGAAGATCTGGAGCAGGGGTCTGCAATCTTTATAGTCAAAAGCACACATCTATGGAAGCAATTGTGTTCCATAATCCTAATTAAAATGGATTAATAGAAATGCTGTTTCATTTTCAACATGTACCTGATTTTTTTGACTCATAAGTAAAATTATAAATACATAATCCAAACTGTATGTTCATTTTCTTCTCCAAGACTGCTCAAAGTGTAAATT